TCTGTGTCTCTCTCTCTCTCTCTCTGCCCTCCCCACCTTGTGCTCACTTTTTCTCTCAAAAATAAATACATTAAAAAAAAATTCTAGACTTGAGCTGGCCAGTGTGGTAGCCAGTACTCACATGTAGTGGTTTAAGTTTAAAAAATTTTTTTAACGTTTATTTATTTTTAAGAGAGAGAGACTGAGCATGAGGGGGGGAGGGGCAGAGAGAGAGGGAGAGATGGAATCTGAAGCATGTTCCAGGCTCCGAGCTGTCAGCACAGAGCCCGACGCGGGGCTCGAACCCATGAACTATAAGAACAAGACCTGAGCTGAAGTCAGACGCTTAACCGACTGAGCCATCCAGGTGCCCCTGTAGTGGTTTAAGTTTAAATTTAAATGTATTAAAATTAAATAACATTATAAATTCTGTTCCTAAGTCACATATGCCACATTTCAAAGGCTCAATAGCCACACGAAGCTAGTGGCAGCCAAACTGGACAGCACAGACAGAACATTTCCACCACTGTGGACATTTTTACTGGACCGCAATGATCTAGAATGAAGATCCGCCAACTCTGTTCTGGTCCTCTGTTTTTGTAAATAAAGTTTTATTGACACAGTCATACTCTTTCATTTATGTATTGTCTGTGTGTGTATGTGTTTTTATGTGATTCAACAGAGGCCCTATGACCCCCAAGGCCAAAAATATTCACTCTCTGATCCTTTACAGAAGACATTTGCTGACCTTTCGCCTAGAACATTTTCCACCAATCCTGTCCAATATGGCAGCCACCGGCCACATATGGCCATTGAGCACTTGATAGGTGGCTTGTGTGACCGAGGGACAGAATTTAAAACGTTGCTTAGTTATAGGTAAAGTAAATATAAACTTAAATCTAAAAATGGATTACTGATTTCATTCTTGGAAAATCTTTTAGGTCTGTTCAGAGCAACTGGGGTAGGTGAACCTATTTTTCCAATTGTCAGGTTTATGGAAATGCAAACAGTAGACACGGTCCCCACTGATCAACCAGCTGGAGGTGGACTAGGAGACACAGCTCACACAGCCGATGTTAGACCCCCACGGCGGAAAAATGTGAACCATCGCATTAAGTATACTGCCCACTTGCTGAAATTATATTTCAAGAGGTGTTGGGTTAAGATGAAATATAGTATTCAAATTAAATTCACCTCTCATTAATTTTTAAATGTTCCTCCTAGAAAAATGTATTTAAAAATTATTTTAATGTTTATTTTTGAGAGAGAGAGAGAAAGACAGAATCTGAAGCAGGCTCTAGACTCTGAGCTGTCAGCACAGAGCCTGATGCAGAGCTGCAAGATCATGACCTGAGCCAAAGTCAGATGCTTAACTGACTAAGCTGGTCAGGTGCCCCCAAATTTATTTTATTTGGGTGGGAAGGGCAGAGAGAGAGAAAGAGAGAGAGAATCCCAAGCAGGCTCCATGCTCAGTGGGGAGCCCAACATGGGGCTTGAACCCACAAACCGCGAGATCACAACCTGAGCCGAAATCAAGAGTCAGACACTGAACTGACTGAGCCACGTGGACGCCCCCTCCTAGATAGATGTAGATGCTAAATGTGGCTTGTGTTATATATCAATTAGCACTGTTCTGGAACATTCGCTGCTCCTTATTCTCCTGATCACTGGATGTCAGTAGCATCTCCCAGTCATGACAATCACAAGTGTCCCCAGACGTCACCCAGGGTCCCATGGGCAGAACTGCCCCCCGGGGTTGAGACCCCTCCCCTGACCTAACATAAACTCCTCCGTTAGACAGTGGAGCCTCCGGTGTGTTTCCCACACTCAGCAACACGCCTGGCACATTCCTGCCCCCCAGGCCGGCACGCTCCGTCCCCATGCCACCCCCTCTCCATCTGCCACAGTCTTCCTCGTCTCTCCAGACACGGCTCAAATGCCCCCTCCTCCAGAGGCCACCTTGTTTGCCCCCACGAAGTCACCAGTGCAGTCCCGGCTCCCCCCACCCCCAAACCGCCACAGGGCTGCCCCGGCCAGCGCACCCCCCGCTACTCATTTTGTGCTCGCCCCTTATGGTGGGCTGAACGGGGCTCCCCTGAAATACGCCCAAGTCCTAACCCCCCGGAACCTGCGAATGCGACCTCATTTGGAAAAGGCGTCCTTACAGATGTAATTAAGTCATGGATCTGGAGATGAGGTTCACCCTGGATTTAGGGTGAGCCCCAGACCCATCGCCAGGTGTCCGTATAAGAGAAAGGCGCAGGGAGAGGGGAGAGGTATAGACATGAGGGGGGACATGTGGCCACAGAGGGAGGGGTTGGGGGGAGGCGTCCGCAAGCTGGAGAATGGCCGTGACGGCAGTCAGTCGCCACCAGGAGCTGGAGAGGCATGGAGCAGAGTCCCCCCCACCCCCACCCCCACCCCGCCTGTGTGGCCCTCCTGCCACCTCGCTCTCAGACTTCTGGCCCCCGAAGTGTCAGAGCATAAATTTCTGTCACTTTAGGCCCCCTGGTGCATGGTGCTTTGTTACAGCAGCCCCAGGTCACTAACCTGCCCCCCCAACTCACTCCTGCCCGAAAGCCTTGCTCCAAAAGCACCCCGAACCCCCCGCCTCCCCCTCCGCTGTCCCTGCCTGAGCCGCTCAGACAACCACAGCTCCCTGCTGCCCCTCCAGCCCCTGATGTTCAGAGAAGTGTCCCCGAGCCCCTGTCTGAACAGAACCCCCATCCCGAGTCTGAAAATCACTCCGAACGCCCCCCGCCCCCGGCCCGTGTGGCCCTCACCACCGAGAGTCCTTGCACTGGGTTATCTGTTCGTGCTTTGTCTGTACCCCGTTCCTGTCCCTGCCGTACATCAGGGACTCAGTAAATGTCTGTTGAATGGACCAAGGGTGCTGAGGACCCAAGGGGCCCCCACTCTAGAGAGAGGCCCCCACCTTCTGGCTTCCCTCTCGGCTGCTGATGGAGCCCAGAGCCCAGCTTTGGCCCCCAACGCAGAAGTTGCTCGTGTCCAGGCTCCCAGGGCCTCGGGCAGTGGAAAGGGAGGCTGGCTTTCGGTCTCAGTGATGCCAGCAGGAAAATGGGGGCAGAGGAAAGCTAAGAAGGACTGAGCTGGGGGCACTGCTGGCAATGTTAGCAGATCTCCAGGTGGGTATGGATTTCTCCGGACAGAGGGTTCAGAGCTCCCAGCCAGAGCCTGATGCCACACGCCAAGACACGGCCCACGGGACATGGGAGGGCTGGGCGCCCACACGGGGTCTGCGGTCAGGCCCCCATCCCGCTGTTTGCTGGCTGCTCGACCTTGGAAAAATCCACTACGAAATCACTTTCTTCTTCCAAGTGCCCAATTCCCCCGGGGGTTCCTGCCAAAGAGAGTGTGGCAGACAGTATGTGGCTGAGCCGAGGCATGTGGCGGTGCCCTCTGTGTGCCCGGGGAGGCAGAGGGGGGCACCGGCCGCCATGCTGTGAGGCTGCTCAAGATGTCCTTCTGGAAAGGACCTGAGGCCCCTTGTCCACGCCACTCCAGAGGCCAGCACAGAGGCGGATCCCTGAGCCACAGTCAGGAGAGACTCCGAGCCGGGACCTTGTGGCAAACTTGTTCCCTAATTCCAGGGCCACTGAGACCACTAACGCTGGCTGTTTGAAGCCAGCAGGTTGTGGAATAATTGTTAGGCCGCAGGACATAACTAACGTGGCCCACAGGACCCCACTGTGCCCTGGGTGCCAGCCTGTACGGACACACCCGCCCTCCAGTTGTCAGCTGGCTTGGGGAGGTGATGGCAGAAGGTCCAAGGGACCAAGAACTGTGAATCCTCTTCTTGGATGTCACCTCCTCCATGAAGCCTTCCATGACCACCTTCTTTACAGTTTCCTCCCTCCCCTCCACCCTGTAATACTCTTCCAGTGCTGAAGATCAGAGAGGTTAAGTCACTGGCTCACTGATACTCAGCAAGGACTGCTTGGAGCTGAGCAAGGAGCACACTGATGCAGCCGCCAATCGCCTCCACCACTCCTGTCTCCCCCCAGAAAGGGGCACTTTGTTCTTGGCTGTGAGGTTGAGGCCACTCCTGGGCCATTTTTGGTGCTTGTTCAGGCTCAAGTCAGCCCATGATGTCATGTTCCCGGCAGGTATACCCAGTCAGCCATGTTGTGCCCAAGTTCCCAGCATTTGTCTGCAGATGCCACCCCCCGCAGCAGCCCCCACATGCCCTTGATGCTGAAGAGTCCCTGAGAATCCCAGGAGGAAGGGTGAGCCCCCCAGCACTCGGGGGATGCCACGGATCTCACTGTGGTCCCTTCGACTTCCATGAGGATGGACTGCCTGGGGACTGGTCTCGGGTGGCTCAGAGGACCACCCTCCCTTCACTGGGGACAGGGCTTCCTGCCCAGCCCAAGAAGGCAGGGCTAACGAGGGAGAGCCGGCGGAGATGAGCCTGGACCAGCCTCCCCTGGGAACGGAAAACTGCCAAACAGCTCCTACATCAAGGGGCTGTAGCTCTATTTGCTCCTTAAGGATGAGGGATAAGAAAATCCCTTTCCTTTTCATCGTGAGAAGCAGGCAGAGTGTAAGCTCCTCCTGGGGGCCCTTAAGGCCCTGTAGGACTTGCCCTGTCCCCTCTCTGCCCTCCCCGCCTCCCTCTCTCCCCCTCCGCCCTCTGCTCCCGCTGCACAGGCCCCCTTGCTGTTCCTCCAACGTGTCAGGCACAGTCCTGCCTCAAGGCTTTTGCACGTGCTGTCCCCTCTCTCTGCTAGTGCTTCCTCATCCTTCAGGTCTCCACACAATGACACTTGCACGCGGGGCCAGGCTTTGCGCAGTAGGCAACACACGACCACTCTGGTGTGAAGTATGGAGCATGGCATGCAGTAGGCACTCAATAAATGCTCTGTCTGAGCATTTCTGTCCCTCTGCACCTTATCCCTTTTTCTGAGTCCAGAGGCACTCGGGCTTCACCGCTGATCCCAGGAGCTCTGATCCCAGAGCGTCCCCTCCATCCCCACTCCCCGGACAGCACCCGGACTCACCCCGGGCAAGGTCTTCTGTTCGTGCAGGGCAGTCTGAGCTTTGATGGCGGAGTCCCTGGCACAGTAGGTGAGAAAGGCACAGCCTGGAAAGGAGAAAAATGGGGAGCGTTAAGAGAAAAGGAGGTTGCACACCCAAGTTCACAGCAGCATAATCCCAACGGCCAAAAGGTGGAAGCGAGTCAAGTGTCATCGATGGATAAATGGATAAACACAATGGGGTCCATCCACACGCTGGAATATCGTTCAGCCTGAGAGTTAGACGTCCCGCCACCTGCCACGGTGTGGACGGGCCCGGAGGACGCTGTGCGCAGTGACAGAAGCCAGACACAGAAGGACACGTCCTGCGTGACCCACTCCCAAGGGGTCCCCAGAGGAGTCCCGTCCGCAGCGACAGAGAGTAGATGGTGGGAGCCGGGGGTGGGCAGGGGCGGGGAGTCCGTGCTTCATGGGGACAGAGTCTCAGTTTGGGGAGATGGAAGGTTCTAGAGATGGATGGATGGTGGGGGCGGCTGCACGACAGACAGAGTGCCGCTGAGCTGTGCGCTTAGAAATGGTTACGGTGGTGAATTTAATTGTATTTTATCACAGTTAAAAAATTGGAAAAGGTGGGGCGCCTGGGTGGCTTAGTCGGTTGAGCGTCCGACTTTCGCTTAGGTCATGATCTCGCGGTTCGTGGGTTCGGGCCCCGCGTCGGGCTCTGTGCTGACTGCCAGCTCGGAGCCTGGAGCCTGCTTCGGTCTGTGACTCCCTCTCTCTCTGACCCTCCCCTGCTCACGCTGTCGCTCTCTCTCTCTCTCCTAGAAATAAATTTTAAAAAAATTTAAAAAAAATTGGAGAAGGAGGAAAAATTGGTTACAACGGTAGATTTTATGTTCTTTTTTACGACAAATTAAAAATAAACAGAGGACACTGGAGCCAACGTGTTTTTTGGGGGGACAATAACAGTGGTTCAGCACCCCCACACACGGTGAGATGGGGGAGGGGAGAGGGACCGGCTGTTAATGAAATCCGTGGCTGACGCTGGGCGAGGAGCCGGAGAGCGCCGGGGGAGGCCGGGGTGCGGAGCCAGGCGGCGGCCGCCCGGGGAGGAGGGTGCGGATGCACCTGTGCAGCAGGTACTCCAGGACTGGGGTGAGGAGCACGGGGCTCTGCTACGGACATGCTCGTGGCCTTGGACCGGGCGCCGCCCTTCTCCGGGCCTCAGTTTCCCCCATCCGAGGGAACGCGCGCCAGTGTGGAAGGATGGGTCAAGGGGCGGGGGCGGAGCTAGAAGGGGCGGGGGCGGAGCTAGAAGGGCGGGGCGGAGCTAGAGCGGGCGTGGCGAAGCGGACGAGGGCAGAGCCAATCAGGAGCGGAAAGGGGCGGGCCCGCCCTGAAGTGATCCGGAGCGAGGGTGTGATTGGTTGGACGACGTCTTGGGCGGGGTGAGGCTGGGGAGCCAGGGTGCGAGGCGTGAGAACTGCAGAGACGAGAGACCTCGAGAGAGACGGAGAGAAGCCCCCAGAGGAAGACTGAGGAGATAGATCAAAGGTATTTTAAAAGATGTTTGTCTGAGGCGGGGTGTGGGATGCAGGCAGGTGTCAGGTCCCCTGAGATGGACCCAGGGGACTGGGCCCCAGACCTGGGCCTTGCCTCTAACGGATGCCCCCACCGCCCCCCCCCGTAACCTCTCTGCCTCCCCATCTCCCCTAGGCCCCTGTGCGGAGCCCCGGGAACAGCTCCGTGGTGCCCAGGTTTGCTCCAGGCAGGAGCTCCTTAAAGCCGCGTCCTTCCTTCTGGGACGCGCTCAGCACACTGGCATTCCCACAGGCTGGGCCGGCTGGGGCGGGGGGGGGGGGGTCCACAGGCCGGGGAGGTCCCCTGGAGCCCTGGGGAGGCGGGCTTTCCAACATTTAAAAAACATTTGCGGTGAGAACGTACAATGGTGCAGCCCCCATGAAAAACAGTTTGGCGGTTCCTCAAAAAAGTTAAACATAGCATTATCGTATGATCCAGCAACTCCACGTCTGCGTCTATACTCAAAAGAATTGAAAACAGGGACTCGAACAGGTATTTCAAACAGGTGTTACACATATTCGTGGCAGCCATTGTTCACAATGGTCAAAAGGCGGCACAACCCAAGTGCCCATCAGCAGATGAATGGGTAAACACAATGCGGTCCATCCACACACTGGAACATTCTTCTGACCTAAAAAGTGAGGAATTCTGACCCCCCCCCCTTACAACGTGGATGAACCTTGAAGGATGCTATACATAGTGTAATAAGCCAGATACAGAAAGACACGTCCTGCATGACCCCACTCACCGGGGACCCCTGGAGGAGTCCCATCCACAGAGACAGAATAGATGGTGGGAGCCGGGGGTGGGGCGGGGGTGCGGAGTCAGTGCTTCATGGAATCAGTTTCAATATGGGAAATTGAGAAATTCTAGAGATGGATGCAGGGCATAGTTACCCAACACTGTGATGCCACTGAGCTGTGCACTTAGAAATGGTTAAGATGGTGAATTTAATGTTATGTGTATTTTACCACAATAAAAATTGTAATGGATATATATTAAAAACATCCCCCCCCTCCCGCTTGGGGCACCCGGGTGGCTCATTCGGTTGAGCATCTGACTTTGGCTCAGGTCATGTTCTCACAGCTCTGAGTTCAAGCCCCATGTCTCACTCTGTGCCAACAGCTCAGAGCCCAGAGCCTGTGTTGGATTCTGTGTCTCCCACTCTCTCTGCCCCTCCCCCTCTTATGCTTGCTCTCTCTCTCTCTCAAAAATAAACATTAAAAATTACACACACATATATACACACCCATAGTGCAGAATATTGAAGTGTACAATGTAACAAATAATTACAAAATCATGTAACCATTTCCCAGGTCAAGGAATAGAACATAGCAGCCTCCAGAAGCCCTGGTGCCTCCCACCCCATGACACTCTCCCCCAGGAGACACTGCTACCCTGGCTCTTGCCACAACTACGTCACTGCTTTTAATTATGGTTCCCTCTCCGAGTGTGTCACTAATCGGTGTAGCTGAGTGCTTCCTGCTTTTGGACTTGTATCCATAGAACCATAGCTCATGTACACTCAATATCTAGCTTCTGTTGAGCTTCTGCTCAACAACAGGTGCTTATGTGTATCAGGGGTTAAGTCCTTTTCATATTTTGCCCTGTGAATATACGGCAAGGTGGGTATCTATTCTCTTGTGGAGGTGCACCTGGGCTGTCCGCTGCTTAAGGCTCTCATGAATAAATATGCCGGGGAGCACCCTCGCCTTGCTACTTTGATGCACCAAGGCATATCCAGAAATGGAATTGCTGGTTATAACATAGCTTTATGTTTAGCTTTAGTCGATTCTTTCAAACAGTTTTCCAAAGTGAGTTGTGCCAGAGTATTCTCCAACCAACGGGTCTGATGGTATTTGTGCTTCCTTTTCACCAACCCTTGGTTTTGCCAGCCTTTTGGATGTTAGTCATTAAGGTGGGTATATCATTGTATTTCACTGAGATTGGAACATACATTGCTACAGTTACTAATAAAGTTGGGCACCTTGTGGCTTTGTAGGAGTTCTTTATGTGCTGTGTAAATAAAGGATACTTTGTATTCTCTTATGGTTACATCTGATGCACACATCTTCTTCCCACCCATGGCTGGTCTTTCTACTCCTTTTCTGGTGTTTCTATTTTCTGAATTTAATCCCCCAAGGTCTTCTGGGGAAAGGAGAAACGCTAAAACAGGTAGCCTAGGGCCTGAGAGAAATTAGGCACAGCCAGAAAGAAATTGGACTGCACGGAGATGTAAAATAGGGGCAAAGCCCTTCTTCCTTGGGTCCTTTCTTGCCAGTAGGATCTCATTTGCAGAACATGGAGTGTGCCGGTCCTGGGAGGGGAGGGAAGCCTCCCCCTCCCCCAGCAACTTTCAAGGCCTTGGGCCTGTGGGTCTGGAAGGTTCGAAGCCAGAGGGTTGCAAACCAGAATGCGTGCCGCTGTCCCCGGTGCTGAAACGCTTCCCTCTTTTGACCTGCTCTCTTCCTCACCTCTTTCTCTTTTCTAGTTGGTGAAAATGTGTGATGTTTACCCCTTTCTGGCCAAATACGGCCTTGATTTTCAGTTCTTATTAGGGCTAAATTGTATCCCACTCCCCAAAACTCATATGTTGCTGTCCTAACTCCCCAGGACCTCAGAATAGGGACCCTTTTTGGAAATTGCAGATTTCATTTCATTGCAGATGAAATGAGTGACAGTGAGGTCATACTGCATTAAGGATGGTGTTTTTACAAGTGGAGGGGATTTGGGCACAGAGACACACACTCAGGGGGAACGCATGTGATTACGAGGGCAGAAATCTGGGTGATGTATCGACAAGCCAAGGAGCATTAGGGGCTGGCAACAAACCACCAGAAGCCAGGAGAGACCTGGCCCAGATCCTCCTTCAATCTCAGAAGGAACCAAATCAACCAGCACCTTGATCGCAGGCTTCTCGCCTCCAGGACTGTGAACAAACACGTTTCTGTTTTTGAAGCCCCCTGGTTTGTGCCGAGTTCTTTCAGCAGCATAGCCCCCAGTCAGCACAGACTTGTTAGTGATGTTAATAAGGCTCACTGACTTCTAATACGAATAAGCTTGTACTCAATATTGACTCACTTAATCCTTACAACAACCCCACAAAGTAGCTGGTAGGATTGTCCTATTTTGCAGATGAGGGGCCAGGGCACAGAGTGGGGACGTGACTTGCCCAGGGTCACACAGATGGGGATTGGAACGTCCAGGCTCCATGGGCTGTGTGCTAACCGCTGGACTACACTGCCTTGAGCTTGCGTCGTTTCTAAATTTTTCCCCAGCGCCTAGGGGAGTGTCAGAGGCACCTGACCCACCTCTCCATGAAAGGAACTTTAAAATAGTGCCAGCGTTCAATCCACTGTAACTGTTGGGAGTCTGTCGCATCCGAGTCCCAGAGGGAACTTCTGAGGGAAGTCACAGCCCAGGCGAAGCCTACACTGGATGAACCTCTCATCTCAGTTCCAGGCCTGGCCGCCCCTCCCCCACACACCAGCCTCGTCAATGACAAGGGGGCCAGGTCTTGTGTCCA